CCTGCCATAAGTCTCTCCCTTTGAAGTAGGCCTTCAGGGATAAAACTTTGGGACCCCCTAGTTTAGGAGATGCGTTCCATTCCATTTGGCTTCTGCCACTTGACGTGTGAATAACTGTTTTTCTTGGGTACAGCATTCTGTAACAAAACTATAGTTTGCCAAATATATTTTGTTTTGTTTCCCTAAACAACCTTTTCTTTGTTACCTGCTTTCACTTTTAATGACTCTTGAATGGATTGTTGTTTTCAAGTGAAAGACATATGGAATATTTCTCAAGTTAGTAACTGCTGAAGTACAAAAAAGGCTTGAGAGCTGTGGCAGCTGCCTTTAGCCCCACTGGTAGAAATGAACCCTGAATAGATGGTACACGGAATTAAGATTTTTCTCAGGGCATACTCGGCTCATGACCTTTTTGCTTTTTTCAGGCTTCTGAAAACTTCATCTATTCTTGTGCTGGATGCTGTGTAGCCACATATGTATTGGGTATCTGTGACCGTCACAATGACAACATAATGCTTCGAAGCACGGGGCATATGTTTCATATTGACTTTGGAAGGTTTTTGGGCCACGCACAGATGTTCGGTAGCTTTAAAAGGTATTTTCTATGACTAAACATTTTTTTTGAAAATGTGAGCCACCTTCCAATTCCTCTCATGTAGGATTTAATATCTACGTGTTGGTCAGCACCTATCCTCAGAGTGGAAACTAGTGATTTCCTGGAACTACATGATTTCCAAAAGCCTTCTGAGTTCCCTGGTATAGACATCTAGTATTTCAAATCTTTGGCTCCCTGTTGTAGTAAACTCTGGCCATAACTCCCTGCCTTCCTATTTTTTTTATTTTATTTTATTTTATTTTATTTATTTATTTATTTTACTAAAAAGGCTGCCTCTCCAGACTGTGCTTTGCATTTTCACGTAAAGCACCTTCATGACTTTAGCTTAGTTGTTCCCCTCAAAGTCAATGTCTGTTAGGTTTTCTCAGAAGGACGATGGGATTGTCTCAAGCTGGGTGTTTTTTCATTTTTGAAATGACTCATCTCCACATTACAGTATAACTGTGGCTAGTTTCCTTTTATAGTAGTCTTATAGGTGTAGCACAGCAATGAGTTGGTATAAAAAATCCTCATGCTTGGATTTAGCAAAGCATATAGCTTTTCGTTGGTGAATACACTCACCCACACACTTGTTTTTTCTGTCTGTCCTCCCTCAGTTGCCAGGATTGCCCCTTCTCCATAGACTTACCTGCAGGGAGCTGGTAAGCACGCTGCCCGGCTGTTTTCCTGGCCACATGCACGCAGGACCCCTTGCAGGCTAGAATGCTGCCCACCTGCAAGGGGAAACGCACCATTTTCCAGGGGAACCCAGGCATATGGGGGCCCCAGCCAGATGGCATAATTAATTATTTATTGGAGAACTTTATCAGCTATAACAGCCAAAAAATGCTGACAGCCTATAATGTAAATTTCCCTCTTATCGGTGCCAATCCAATATGCAACTGATATATTGGTACACCTCTACTGTCAATATAAAGGTAAGTAAAGAACAGAATTCACATTTGGTTAGTTCCTTGTGCTGGTGATATGTTGCACATTCAGCCAATACATCCCTCAATAAAGCGGCAAATCAACCCAAAAGATGTTCCATGCCTCATGTAACTTTAGTGCTCCATTTAATGTGGAACATCTTTCCAGCTGGCTTGTATTGCACTTAAATTCAAACATGTAGTGTGCATCCCAGCATCAGGCTGTGTGGCATGGCTTTAAATGTCCCCATGTATGAGCTGATAAGCTGTACCCACATGTGGGGACATGTAGAGCTGCACCATGTAGCCAGATGTTTGGTTGACAAGTCCATGAAGTTTTGTTTATCCCCTGCTGCCTGTGTCACTAGCATGAATGTGGCTGTCTTCACAAGTATCATTTCAGGATATGTGGTGCAGGCAGTTGGGGATCTGGGAGCTTTCTGAACCTTAGAATTCATATAGCCAGCTGCACATCCTGACAAACATGCAGTGAGATCTGAGGAATTTATCCCAGATCCCAACTACCATGCATGGTAGACTTTGAACATTTGGTGTAGTAGGACATGTGATTGATGGGACAGGGATAAAATTTCTCAGATCCCATTGTGGGATTAAATTAACATCTGCCAGGGGTTTCAGTGTGTTACTGATTAAAATTGTGTTAAACTTCTTACCTCTAACTTCTACATTATGAATCTACAGACATTGGTGCCCTTTGGGTTTATAGAAAAAAAAATATAAAGTGTATGTGTGTGTGTATACAACCACACACTTTTGTGCAAAAAAGCATCATATTTGCCTAGTATGTGCTATGTATTTGACTGTTATGCTCAGTGATGGCTGCATTTAATCAACTTCATAGTTGGTTTTCATTGCTGAGCACATGCTGGTTTGCCAGCAATTTAAAGATAGACAATGTATTTAATGAAGCTTCCTTGTATGCAACTGAGGGGCTTTTTTCCAATGCTGACTGGGGGAGGAAGGCTTCATTTTGTGTTCAAGTAAATACGGTAACATGTTAATGTTTCTTCTCTTTAAACAGGGATCGAGCTCCTTTTGTGCTAACATCAGATATGGCCTATGTCATCAACGGTGGTGAAAAACCTACTATTCGTTTCCAGTTGTTTGTGGATCTGTGCTGCCAAGCATACAATTTAATAAGGAAACGTGCAAACCTCTTTCTTAACTTGCTTTCATTGGTAATAGTGTTTTATTGCTCACTGTGTTCTTGTGTTTAACTCCCTATGCATGTATTTTAAATCCCCAGTTACTTTTGACAGATCAAATCTGCACTGAAAATCCTAAATTGTAGGCTCTTATACACCAGCATTTCTTACCACATGCTGCTATAAATCACAGACATAGCAGTGCTTCCTTGGAAGGGCCAGGAACAGTTGTAACTGGGATTGGATTTGGTTTCCCTTTGTTTGGGCCGTGAAAATTTAAGAATAGAAAGTACTTACAGCTTTCACCATAGAAATTAAATCAAAAGTAACATCTAAAGAATTTCAAAACTTTGCATTTGTTAAAAATAGTTAAAATGGTGGTGGTATTTAAACATGAAAATCTTTAATTCATTTTCCATTGTGAAAATATAGTAACCTTCTGTTGCTTTCTATAGATGCTTTCTTCCGGGTTACCAGAGCTAACTGGAATTCAGGATTTAAAATATGTGCAGGATGCTCTACAACCCCAAACTACGGATGCAGAAGCTACAATTTTCTTCACAAGGTACCAGAGTAGTGACCAAGTGAAACAGAACTTGAATACACAATCTCATTGCTCAAATTCTGCACTGTGATACTAAAATAAAAATAAAGTGTTCTATAAATACTTAGCTATAAAAGTTCATTAATATTACGGTTTTCCTTTAATCATAAAATAAAATAATATTATCCATTACTGAGTTGAATACCTAACTTCAATTTCAAAGACACTTCCGTTGCGTTAAAATGCTCCTGTGGTGTGTTAAATGAGCAATCTAATACAGAAAATTCTAATGCATGCATTAAAAGGTTAATCACTATATTCAGCCTTATCTGTCCATAATGCTTGCAGTTAATGAAAGAGAGATGCCCTAAATTGATTTCATGCTTATTGCAAGACTTCTAAAGTTATATCAAGTTGAAACCCTCTTACAGAGAAATGGTTGCGTTTTCTGGGAATGCACAGTAGTCAAAATTTGGTTAATATGTATATTATCTCAGTAAATAAGGTACGATGGTCACTGGGGATCAGTGACCATTTTCAGTCTAAATTTTAATGTTGAGGCCTTTGGTAAGGGTTTCATTTATTTCTTTCTTCCTTGGAATGTAGTGCACTGACAAAACAAAATTGCTGTGCATTCAGAGTATGTAACTGCACTCTTATATTTGAAGATATTTTCTCATTTTGCAGGCTGATTGAATCCAGCTTGGGAAGCGTTGCCACAAAGTTCAACTTTTTCATTCACAACTTGGCTCAACTGCGTTTCTCAGGCCTGCCTTCCAATGATGAGCCCATCCTCTCATTTTCTCCCAGAACGTACTCTCTCAAGCAAGATGGCCGAATTAAGGAAGTGTGTGTGTTCACATACCAAAAGAGGTACAACCCAGATAAACATTATGTAAGTGGATATTGTTGAATATGAAAATTCAGTCTGTATTTGCTTTTACTGCCATATCTCTTCACCATTGTTTGCTTTGTTCATATGTCCTTCTTCCATGGAAAACAATTCTCATCTTGACCAGTGAACTGGATTCTACTGGACTACTGAATTGGATTCCAAAAGCCCAAAACAAAATGAAAAAATATCCTAAACACAGATGTATTTCAGCATGAACTTGGTTCACTAATTCTCAGCTACTTATTTCTGTTCTTGTCAAGAAACTAAAGCATTATAGCATAAGCTCCGCTAATTATATCAACCAAATATATTGTTTTCTTTGAACTGTAGAACTATGGATATGGACAAATGTATATTTGGAGCAAAACTGCCCCGGGTTGAACTCTGCGTCAACCAGGATCACTGTTGGGGTGATTTTAGCACACTTTTATTTCTCTAGGCTTATGTTGATGCAGCAGCAGTTACAGCATAGCATCTGCTGTGTCCTTCCAAGCAGTAGCTCTTCTTCCCCTTTTTTTAAAGACATTATAAATGTAAATTTTCACATACCTTATGTATTCTCCTGAAGGAGAGACCAGAAATAAGCTGATGGGGGAAGAAACGGTGCTTTATAAGTGGAAATTTGTGGTTTTAATTAACTTTTCAGTATTCTGTACTTTAGCGCTCTATGAACGTACAGAATAAACCACCTCTCTTTGATTTCTTCAGGAAGGGTGAACTTGGTTTTTCTAAGTGGAGGCATTAGAATCTAAGACAGGGTGGGCAGGTTACTCTCAGCTGGGCAGTTGGGATAGGGCTGCAGACAGGCAGGGGGCAGAGTCTAGGAGTGGGATGGGTGAGGAGGGCCAGGATTGCAAGGCAGTGACAGTGGGGTTGGGGCTGGGACAGAGCCATGATCCTCTCCCTGCACATCCCTGCAACTGATGCTGGTTCCATAGGAAGCAGCTGTGCCTGGCCACTGTCAGTGGAACTAGCACCCATCACAGGGACACGCAGAAAGCAGATTATGGCTCTGCCCTGGACCCAGCCCTATGCTGCCCTGCACTGCATCTGGTTTGTGCTGTGGCTGCTCACAGCCCAGCAGTGCAAGGCTGCCACAATGGATCATGACCAGCCTGACCTGGGAGGGAGGCAGAGTGATGTCAGTGACCCAGCCCCTGCTGCCCTTGGCCCAGCAGAGGTGCACATGGGCAGCCCAGGTACAGTACAGAGCTGCTTAGGACAACCTGATCTGGTCCTGATGCATTGGGGTCGCCACCATGCTGCTGGGCCATGAGCAGCCATGGCACAAACCGGGTGCAGTGTGATGGAGGGTCTTGATTCGCTGATGTAGATGTAAAAATGGATGTTATAAGCATAACAAGCTTAACAAGAATAGCTGTCATGACTGGAATTAAGTACTGTTCAGAAAAGATTCATATAAAGAGAGAACTGAGGGGAGGTGACATTTGTATATTGGGTAGGATAGACTATTAAAAAAGCAGGGTAAAAAATAGGTCTGGTCAAAATCACTCTGAATTGGGCTGTACAGGGCAATTCAGGGAGTATGCTATAGACCCTAAGAGTCAGATTTGGATAGGAATAGAGTGAAATACTGTTTGATAAACAATCTCTCTCAAAATGATTTTAACTATTTGATTCACAAAGCTCCTAAATGTACTGAAAGAATTTAAACTATAAATGATCCTTCATTTTGAAGTTATAGGAAATTGTCTCTGGCAAGTTATATCTGCAGTGATGCACTAAATTTGGCTTCCTGTATGTCTTCCCACACCCAAGTCCTAGTGGAAGATGTATACTCAACCTCCTGACTTAGGACAAGTACTAACAGTTGAACCAAACTAGCATTTTTCTCAGCCTTTGTGATTAATACATGGATATACATTGTGTATAATAGACAAAAAATGTGTTACTAGAAATAATAGTTACTACTAATAAAACTGATTTGGTCCTGGAATGCAAATACTGCACCAGAAAGGATTTACTGGAGGAAGAGATGTTAAAATATGTAAATGTTGTGTCTCTCTTGGCAGATCTATGTTGTGAGAGTTTTGAGAGAAGGGCAAGCCGAGCCAGCATTTGTCTTCCGGACATTTGATGAGTTCCAGGAATTCCACAACAAACTTGGTATTCTCTTTCCTCTTTGGAAGTTACCAGGGTATGTTCCAAGTCCTTAATATGTGTTTGCATGCTTAGTAGAAGCATGCTGGAGTTTCACAGCAGTCTTCCCTGAAGATTCCATCCATACCAAGCATGTTACAGCCTGGAGCTGAACAGGACATTCCCAGTAATTGCAGTTGTGAACTGCTCTAAATTAGGTCCCTTGAACTCGGGGTACAAAGAAATGCCTTTCTTGAGTTGTCATTCAGCTCCTGCTAAATTCAGGCAGTTAAAAAGATAGAACACAGTGGAGAGGAGAGCTGGAAATGAAGAAAGTAGTAGAACTGGAGTGAGAATGGGAAGGAAAGAGAATTTAATGGGGTGACACAAGTGGTAAAGGGGTGTCATGGCCAGAAGCGAGGGGAGAACTAGGACTGGTTGGTCAGACACTGAGACCAGAGTGGAGAAGGACACTGATTAAATAGGAAACCCAGGGAGAGAAGCTGGGGTTGGAGCACAGCAGGAAATGTGAGGAGTTTGGGGTCTTCAGAGGGGTAAGAGTGTTTTGGACTAGGGTGATGAGCCTGATGTGTGGAGAATAGAGGTGATATAAGGAGCTAGGGGGGAGAAAAAGATGGGACTGGGACAAGCTGGGGGGAAAAAGAAGGGTACAACTTGGGTGTATTCCACGTTGATGGCCTGTGCCCATTAGGAGGAGTGGACACCCCTGAAGTGTGGAATGGAACCCAAGACCCCAAGTCTCACCATGCCACAACTGGCAACAAATAACGGCAAAAAACACATTGGCCATGTCTCATTTCCCCTCTAGGACTGCTATTCATGAAGCACAGCCATCTACTACTTTTGCTGGTTACTCTGTAGCTCAAATGGCAGGGGTTGCACAGGCAACTTTAATACCAATGTTTCTGAACTTTGAAGTGCTTGACTTTGCAACCTTCACGTATTCTAATGTCACTCTGTGTGCTGGCTACAACTGTGCTTCCTTAATATTAATACGTAGATTGAACTTAATAAAATGAATGTGCCATTGTATCAATTTGTGACTTCACTTGTCAAGAATAGATATCAACATTTAGGGATGTAACGTGTGGTTAAACTACATCAGAATTCAGCAGCAAAATCTATTCTGTCGTTCTCTTGCAGCTTTCCTAACAAGATGGTTCTGGGAAGAACTCATATAAAGGAAGTAGCAGCCAAAAGAAAAGTAGAGCTAAACAGTTATATACAAAGTTTGATGAATGGTTCAGCAGAGGTGGCCGAGGTGAATATTGAAAGATTTTTCAATAAATTTAACATTCAACTTTGATATTTTAGTACATTTTAAACTAATGTGTAACTTTTTTTTTCCAAATTCAGTGTGATCTTGTTTATACTTTTTTCCACCCTTTACTTCGTGATGATAAAGCTGAAGGAATAGACGGAATAGCCAAGCATGCAGGTAGATATCTAGCTTTTTTTGTAGGGTGGTAAATTGAGTGACTGCAATATATACTGTAAAGGGCTTCAGTACTGGCTAATGTAAAAGTATTTTCAAGTAATTCTAGTTTGATAACTTCCACTTCAGAAAATGTTCACTTGTCATACCAAGTCTCCTGTTTTTACTTCTGAAAATATCATTAAGTGTAAATCCTATACTGCGTGGATTCCATGAGTTATAAATAAACTCTATGTGCAGTGTGTTTGATTTCTTGCTTAGTCAGTGCTTTACCTTTTTATCAAAGAAATTTAATCAAAGCTTTCACTCTCAGCCTCCAAGCCAGGGGTCAGCAATCTTTTTGGCTGGAATGCCAAATACCTGAAACTAGAGCCATGCCTCAACTTGATGTGCCAGAGGCAGGGGAGCCACAAGGGGCCTGATCCTTGCTGCTGGCAACATGGGTGTCACTAGGCAGATAGTGGAGGAGGGGCTGAGGTTGTGCTGCCCCAGCCCCAAATTCATTTTCTACCTGGAGGGATGTGGGCAGTGGGGTTCCGCAGGGCTCAGTCCTCGGGCTCGCACTGTTCAACATCTTCATCAGTGACTTGGATGAGGGGGTAAAAAGCACCCTGTTCAAATTTGCTGATGACACTAAGATGTGGGGGGATGTGGGCAC